ACTTAGTGATGAATATGGGATGGCTAAATCGACTATATGTACGATTTTGAAGAATAAAGAGGAGTTAAAAACTGTGCAAGTGGCTAAGGGAATCTTTAGACTTAGCAAAGCAAAGTGTAATGTGATTGAAGAGATGGAAAATTTACTCTTAGTGTGGATAAAGGAGAAAGAAATGGCAGGTGGTAACATTAGTGAAGCTATAATTTGTGAGAAGGCTAAACAATTGTTTGAGGACCTTAAAGCCAAGACTCCCAGTGGAAGTGATAGTGATGTGCCAGTGTTTAGGGGTACCTGCATGCTGAATAACACTAAGGTAAGATAAAGTACCGTATTTTTTACATTTTCCACAGAATTTTTTCAGTGTTAAGTGGTTGTATTTGGGGGCCTGGAACGGATTAATCCTATAACGAATGAATGCTATAACGAACGAAGTTCTGGAACCAATTACGTTCGTTATAGCATACCCCACTGTATTCAAATTATTAGCTGTCTTGCAAGGATTCTAGCAATGCAAATTATATTCTCCTAACTTTAGTCTGTGATATTATATAAGATAAAAACTATAAGCCTATAACCACCCAACCCTGGGAAGATGGGGGGCGGGGTGAGGAGGGAGGTGATAGTGACATGTTTGACAGTTGGGGCCGAAGGTCTAGTGAAGTATTTATTTGTTTATTCCTTTAGATTGAGTTTTGGTTTTTTGCTTATAAAATGTCACAGAAGTGACCAGGGAGAATATAATTTACTTTGCTGGAATTCTTATAAGATAGTGATTAATTTGAATATAATCATGCTATAGTTTGCACAAGACAAAAATTTTAGTAATCATTTAGTACATTATTTTGAGTACATGTACAGCTTTGCCCTTAGGACAGTGTAGCGTGCCCAGAGAAACATTAGGCGTGAATTTTAAAATATGATGCGCCAGATTGACTCGTGCAAAAAGGAAAGATTCACTTTAAATTAAAACATTGTCCTTAATTGTGGGTGTCGCTTTCAATCAATAATCTTAAATTGAATCGCTTTAAATCACGTTCTACTGTATCCCAGTTTGTCCGCTCGTACTGAATCACATTTATTTACTGTCCCTCCGTTATCTGAGTTTTTGCTATATGAGCAGACTTGTATCATCAAGATTTTACTTTAAATGATACCACCCCCGTGGTCAAGAAAAATCAAATTTATGTTTTATGGCCCAAAAACCCCAAACTGACCGAAGAAAACAAGAAATGTGAGTAAAAGTGACAACTCGTTTAAGTGCTAATTGGCATTTAAATCCTGGGCTGGTGCAGTATTGCCAAGCTAACTGACTCCCAGTCCTGTCACAATACTTCTGGTCGGCCTTGCAACCATGTATATATACATAATATTTTTTTTTTTTTTTATGCAAAAAAAAATAAAAATAATTTGATTATAGCAGCATAATAAATGAACCTAAAAAATATTTTGCAATAAACGTATGGATGTTTTTTATTACAAGCGACAACACTGCACACTCAAGGTCGGCAGGGGTATTTTCCGTCCCTCACGTTTTAATTTCTTTATATTTAGACTATTATGGCAACATGCAGTGTAGGAGGGAGGAAGAAGTGTGGGAGGGAGGAAGAACTGTGGGAGGGAGGAAGAACTGTGGGAGGGAGGAAGAAGAAGTGAGAGGGAGGGAAGGGAAGTGTGGGAGGGAGGAAGAAGTGTGGGAGGGAGGAAGAACTGTGGGGAGGAGGAGGAAGAACTGTGGGAGGGAGGGAAGAAGTGTGGGGAGGGAGGGAAGAAGTGAGGGAGGGAGGAAGAACTGTGGGAGGAGGAAGAAGTGTGGGAGGGAGGAGGAAGGAGTGAGGGAGGGAGGGAAGAGTGAGGGAGGGAGGAAGAAGTGAGGGAGGGAGGGAAAAAGGAGTGGGGAGGGAGGAAGAAGTGAGGGAGGGAGGAAGAAGTGTGGGAGGGAGGAAAGGGAGTGAGGGGAGGGGAGGGAGAAGGGTGTGGGGAGAGGAGGAAGAACTGTGGGAGGGAGGAAGAAGTGTGTGAGGGAGGAAGAGTGTGGGAGGGAGGGGAAGAAGTGTGGGAGGGAGGAAGAAGTGAGGGAGGGAAGAAGTGAGGGAGGAGGGAAGAGTGAGGGAGGGAGGGAAGGGGAGGGAGGAAGAAGTGTGGGGGAGGAAGAACTGTGGGAGGGGAGGAAGAAGTGTGGGGAGGGAAGAAGTGAGGGAGGGAGGAAAGGGGTGTGGGAGGGAGGAAGAGACGATGGGAGGGGAGGAAGAAGTGTGAGGGAGGGGGAGGAAGAGATGTGGGAGGGGGAGAGGAAGAAGATGTGGGGAGGGAGGAAGAAAGAGAGTGGGGGAGGGAGGGAAAGAGGGTGGGGAGGAAGAAGGAGGTGGGAGGGGGAGGGAAGGGGTGTGTGAGGGAGGGAGGAAAGAGAGTGTGGGAGGGAGGAAGAGTGGGGAGGAGGAGGGAAGAAGTGTGGGAGGGAGGAAGGGGGTGTGGGGAGGGAGGGAAGAAGTGAGGGGAGAGGGAAGAGAGGTGTGTGAGGGAGGAAGAAGTGTGGGAGGGGAGGGAAGAGTGAGGGGGAGGGGGAGGAAGGGGGTGTGGGGAGGGAGAGGGAAGTGTGGGAGGGAGGGGAAGAAGGGGTGTGGGAGGAGGGAAGAGTGAGGGGGAGGGAGGAAGAATGTGGGAGAGGGAGGAAGAAGTGTGTGAGGGAGGAAGGGGAGTGAGGGAGGAGGGAAGAAGTGTGGGAGGGGAGAGGGAAGAATGTGGGGAGGGAGGAAGAAAGTGAGGGAGGGAGGAAGAAGTGTGGGAGGGAGGAAGAAGTGAGGAGGAGGGAAAAAGGAGTGTGGGAGGGAGGAGGAAAAGAATGGGAGGGGGGAGGAAGGGAGGTGTGGAGGGGAGGGAGGAAAGAGATGTGGGAGGGGGAGGAAGAAGTGAGGGGAGGGAGGGAGGAAGAAGTGTGGGAGGGAGGAAGAAGTGTGGGAGGGGAGGAAGAAGTGTGTGAGGGGAGGGAGGAAGAAGTGGGAGGGGAGGAAGAAGTGGGGGGAGGGGAGGAGGAAGTGGAGGGAGGAGGAAGGGGAGGGAGGAAGAAGGTGGGGAGGGAGGGAGAAGAAGTGGGAGGGAGGAAGAAGTGTGGGAAGGAGGGAGGAAGAAGGGAGGAGGGAGGAAGAAGGTGAGGGAGGGAAGAAGAAGTGTGGAGGGAGGAAGACGGGGGAGGGAGGAGCTAGTGTTGGAGGGAGGGAGTGTGGGTGGATGTAACCATACAGTGGGACTGGTAGGGGTAGGTGTAGCGGAGGGAGTACTGGACGTTCCTGGAGATGGGGAAGGCAGCAACCCTCTCTCCTCCTCTTGCCACTCATCACAGTCGTCGTCATTGCTTTCCTCTTGTTCAAACATGTAGTACGGGTCACTATCATTATCATCACCTTCAATACATGCCTCTCTGTCAATACCATGTTCATCTTCACCCCTACCAAAGAATTCAGAGTATATTTCATCCTTCATCCTGATTGAGTTACGTTCACATGCCATGGCTATCGACTCTACTGCGTAGGTAGTAGGCAGCTATCAAACAGTGAGGTACTACCACCTAGGAAGATATTGGAAGCATAATGTGTTGTCTAACGGTATACCTCCTGCCATATAGGACTAAGTCCCAGGTTGTTGATCTGACTTTCTTCCTGATTTACACACAATTGCAGGGTCATAATTGTTTCTCATACTTTGACAAACAAATAAACATACATACTGTATATCATTTCTCACTCTTGACCTTTTTTTCAGTTTTATTATTATTATTATTATTATTATTATTATTATTATTATTATTATTATTATTATTATTCTTGTTACTATTATAATTATAATTATTATCATTAATATTCATTATAATTTTTATTTATTTTTGTAATACAGTTATTATTATTACAGTCGACCCGAGTTAATTCGGACCCCTTTAATCCGGATTTTCGATAAATCGGACAAAATCTGAAATGTCCGTATCAAATTTCTGGTTCTGGGATTGTCCCAGTTGCAATTTCGGTTGCAATTTCAAATTCTGTGTCACTTCTAAGGAATAACGAAGTCTCTGGTGCACTCTAAGATTAAGAGAAAACGGACGACTCAGGCGCCCTGAAGTGAGAGAAAACGGACTCCTATGATGGGGCACTCAAATAAAGAGACATGGCTACATTTTTTGTGGACTACCCACTGTACAGTATCCTTTTCATCACTTTGTAATAAACCTAGTCATGCCTTATGTGTTTCTGATAATTACCATAACATTATATATTTATATGTTTAGCGGTTGTACAAACACAAGGCCTCACACATGCCACTCAGACTGACAGACTTGACAAGTTGAAGCTTTAAACATCACTCACAATGGATCTTGAATATTCCAACTGTAATCAGACATATCTAAGTTGCCTCAACAATTGCAATCCCAGTTGCAATATCAAATTCTGTGTCATTACTAAGGAATAACGAAGTCTCTGGTGCACTGCACTCCAAGCTTAAGAGAAAATGGAAAATTCAGGCATCCTGAAATGAGAGAAAACGGACTCCTATGACGGGGCACTCAAATAAACATACACATAGCTGTATAATGCAATATTATGTAATATTAACCCCTAAATCGGTTAATTCGGACAATCGACTAAAACGGACACCATTGCCCCCTATTAGTCCGTTTTAACAAGGGTCGACTGTATTATATTTCCCAGGCCCCGATGTGGGTTAGTGACCTGGGCCCGGTATGGTCTCCAAAAAGTAGCCTTGATTAGGAAGAGACAGGAGGGTACCTCAATGCAGAGTATCATGAAACGCTACACAAGATGACCGACACCACAAGCCAACAGATTATGGTAGCTAGACTCAGTTTCAAAGAAATAGGAAAAGTATATTTAGAAAACATTCTGGTACGTGAATGACCAGAGATAGTATCATCGGCGATCATGTACTTGAACGTTAATGACCAGCTGCAGGTTAAAAGACCCCAAATTAATGAAAAACCACCTTGTACCTACCTCCCGAGCTCCTGCCTGCCTGAGAAGTCGAATGATGGGTCCTACAGTGGTACCCCTAACAATGGAATCATCAACCAGCACAACTCTGCGGCCCACAAGGTTTTCAGTCAGAGCACCAAACTTCTTAGCAACAGCAAGTTGTCTAGAGCGTGTGTCAGGTTGGATGAAGCTCCACCAACATAGCGGTTCTTGCACAAAACTTCCATGTAAGGGATACCAGACTGTCACAAATTAAAAAAAATTACTTATCAAAGAAAAAATTTAACAGTATGGAAGCTAATATTTTTTTTTTCATACCTAATCTTTTATAGATTACAAAATAAATATATTTCTTACACCATTTGATGACAAAGATAAAAAACATCTATCAGTAAACTTTTAGTTTGTGCCCAAAAAATATCTTGGGGCTTTTGTGGATGGGAGACACCATAGCAGAGTACACCTGGCATATGTAAATACAAAGAAGGAATAATGGAAAATATGGGAATCTGAGTTACTCTTGATTCTGGCCACTATACACCATAGCAGGAAAAGTACTAAGAATAAAAATTAAAATCACCTGGAGAGAGAATCCCATGGCTGCTGGTGTGGCCGACTCAGGAATGGTGGAGATAATGTCAGCTTCCACGGGTGACTCTAAGGCCAGCTGCCGCCCACACCGCTGGCGCACACTGTATACTTGCTGACCTAGGAAGTAATTTTTTTTAACATTAAAAAGATCATAACCCATCTTATGTAGCCACTAATGTAACAGGAATCCATAACCTCAGAAGAAACTGTCTCACAAATATACACTACAGTGATCCCTCGGTTAACGAAGCGCTCTCAGCAATTCAGGATTTCGTTAACGAATTACCTTCCCATAAGTGATTCTGTACTTCGGTTAACGAGCATTCCTCAATTAACGAATTTCACGAAAGTGCCTCAACAACATGTTTTCGCTTTGCACACTAGTCGTATTAGTCCAATACAGCACCGGTTCGTAGGGCTTAAATTCTCATTATTTTAGTAAATATCAAGAAGTTTGTACTATTCAATAATTTTAAAAGTCTTATATTAAAATTTGTAGTAATTTTCAATAATTATTAAACATAATTGAACAGGAACTAGTTTTTAGCTACTAAAACAGCTCAATAACACACCAAGCAGGCCAGTCTCTGTGTCTTTTCAGTGGAGGTAACATCTTGCTTCAGACTCTCTTCAACATAAATGCTTTTTTTTTTCTGTGTTTCCAGCCTGGCTGGTCATTTTGAAATTTATTTTACATATTGATGATATATAGCTTATGCAGTTGATTTAAAGAAAATATTCTTATTTACAGCAATTAAACTTGGTACATCACGTATGGAAATTCTGTTTTAATCCAGCATGGGTCCCAAGAATCAAGAAAGATTTCTAATCAGGTGAAACAGGAAATTATTAAAAAACATGAAGAAGGCATTAGAACAAATGTGTTTAACAAAGAATATGGCATGTCGACATCAACTGTGTCGACAATTCTTGCACAGAAAGACAAATTCAAGGAAGTGAAAGTGAGAGACAAATCTACCAGAGTGTTCAAAGGTAGATCCCTAATAGCAGAAACAGAGAGGTTACTTCTCATTTGGATTAGGGAAAAACAGATGAAAGGTGATTCAGTTTCTACTGAATTTATTTGTGAAAGAGCCAGGGAAATATACGAACATTTAAAGGTAGATCAACCTGGTTCTTCAGGCACAGACTTTGAAGATTTTAGGGCCAGCAAGGGCTGGTTCGAAAAATTTAAGAAAAGAAGTGATATATTTAGTGTTGTTAGGCATGGTGAGGCTGCCAGTGCTGATAAGGAAGGGACAGCAAAATTTTTAGTGGAATTTAAAGAACTGATGGATACAGAAAATTATCTTCCACAGCAAGTGCTCAATGTGGACAAAACTGGGCTGTTCTGGAAAAAGATGCCCAAAAGGACATTCATCACCAGAGATGAAGCCTCTTTACCTGGGCATAAGCCCATGAAAGACAGTCTCACTCTATTGCTTGGTGCCAATGCTTCAGGAGATTTCCGACTGAAGCCTATGCTTGTCTACCACTCTGAGAACCCCAGGGTGTTCAAGCAACAAAAAGTGGTAAGAAGACAGCTTGGAGTTTATTGGAAGTCCAACGGTAAGGCATGGGTAACAAGACAGCTCTTTAATGAATGGGCTGTTGAGGTGTTTTGCCCTTCTGTGAAGAGCTACCTAACCACCAATAAACTCCATTTAAAGGCTCTTCTCCTTATGGATAATGCCCCTGGTCATGACCCTCAACTTGCCAGCACTTTGGAGTCTCAATTTGACTTTGTGAAAGTGTTGTTTTTGCCTCTCAACACTACATCAATCATACAGCCAATGGACCAGAATGTGATCAGCAACTTTAAGAAGCTGTACATGAAGAAAATGTTCAGGAGGTGTCATCAGGCAACTACCACTGATCCTGATCTATCACTGTCACAGTTCTGGAAGACACAATACAACATCCTGGAGGCTGTAAAATTGATCGAGTCCTCATGGCAAGAAGTCTCCACTAGATCCCTCAATTCTTCATGGAGAGCACTGTGGCCATCAGTAGTCCATGATTTTGAGGGATTTCAGGAAGAAGCAGAGTTGGACCAGGAGATTGTGTCCATTGGTCAGTCATTGGGCCTTGAAGTGGAGGAGGAGGATGTAGAAGAGCTTGTGATGTCTCATGAACAGGAACTTACTCCTGAAGACTTGCAGCAACTGGATGAGATGTTAGAGGCTGACAGTGGTGAGGAGGAAAAGGAAAATGATGACCATATGTCAACTTCAGAGTTGAAAGATGTTGTTGACCACTGGTAGAAGTTCAGGAAACTGGCTTCAAGGCACCCATATGTGGAAAAATCTGAACTAGCTTTGTGTCATGTTGAGGACACAGTGGTCTCCTTCTTCAAACATCAGTTAATGATGAGGAGGAGAGATGCCCCACAGACAAAAATTGAGTTTCTTCACTAAAAGGCAGCGGGAACAAGATGCTAGCCCTCAGCCTTCCACTTCAAGGAGGAGAGAGGATGTTCCTGGTGGAGAATCTGTCAGTCCAGAGGTTCCTGACATTTTCATGGAAGGTGACTCACCTTCCAAGAAGCAGTAAAATGCTTCTCCTCCACTTCTACTTCCTTCTCTTCTCCCTTCTCCTCCTCCACCTCCCACTTCAAATTCACATCAGCATCATCATCCAGGAGCCTTCTACATACACACCTCAAAGTAAGTGTAATTACTACTTTTTTTGTTGACTTCAAGCTATTTTCGGTGAGCTGGAACCAATTACCCAAAAACCCATTGAGACAATGGTTTCGGTTAACGAATTTTTCGGTTAACGAGCAACCTTCTGGAACGAATTGTGCTTGTTAACCGAGGGACCACTGTACTCATACTGAGATCAGTTCATATGTCCATTATGTTTGGAAAAAGGTTCTATATGTGGCCACCACCCCAAGGGGAAAAAGGTATCAAAGATGTAGATAAGGAAATTAAGTAATACAGGCACATGTAGAGCTACGTTAGATCCATAGATAAACTAGATTCTCTGAGGAAGAATATAAACAAGAACAGACTCATTCATTTCTTAACCATTCTTCTCAATCTTAGTAGCCTGTATGGACAATATAGACAACCAAGTACAGTACCATATTGTACAGTACCTGTATACAGTGATCATGGTTCTCAAGAGTTCTCAGTTCAGAATCACATGACTTACATTAGAACTGCCAACTTCTGTCTATCTTTATCTACATTTCTCTCATTTCTGTGTGGTATGGATCAAGGGCAAAGACACCTTCAAGAAAAGAGGCATTGGCAGAATAACACATGGGCAAAACGGGCACTTGATCCAGGGTCCCCAGATGTGAGGTGCTCCAAGGATCCCCCAAAAAATTAATTAAACATATTTCCCAACACTTTCTGTCCCTGTGAGCAGGGTGGAAAAATAAAACATGGCTATTGAAAAAAAGAAAATAATAATAATAAATACACCAAGTTTGTTTCAATTGCATTTATCTTTCATATTTCATTAAAGAATTGTGCAGTACAGTAAAGCCTCGAATAACGACGGTAATGTGTCCTCCAATATTGCAGTGTAAGGTGAATCATCGTATCACGAATCAATAATTACCATTAAAATAAAGCAATAATAATGAGATGCATTCCCAAGTGTGACTTTTTCATATCTTTTGTGTGGCTTTTTACCCTCTTTTCCCCCCAAAACAATACAATTAATGAAAATTGCAAACTATATTCTTTAAATAATGTTTCTGAATGCACCTTATACAATATAAATGAATAATAATATGGTCACACAAGAGGAGATGAGACGCCATTGTTTTTGTTTGTGTTTACAGCCGGGAGTCCGGGACGATAGTTCTACAAGAGAAAATGAAGAAAATAAGACCCTGGTTGTAGCTGTAGTAAAATTAATGTAAAAAATTTAAATATACAGTGGTTCCTCAGTTAATGAACACAATTCGTTCCACAGAGTCGTTCATTAACCGAAAATTTCGTTAACCGAATCTCTTATTTCAATGGGATATTAGGTAATTGGTTCCAACTCACAGAAAAAGTATACATACAAAGTACTGTATACCAGTAACAGCATTAACAAAACATTAAATATAAACTAAATACAGTACTGTACTGTACAGTATATACTGTACAATAATAAATAAAAAGCAATAAAATACTGTATTTCAACTTACTTTGAGGTGTGTATGTCGTATTCCCGGCAGCTTTGTTTACATATCAAACAGCTGATAGTAGAGGCAGTCGATGATGACATGCCATATTCTTTACAGAGTGCATTGGTTCTAATGCCTTCTTCATGTTTCATAATAATATCTGCACTGTATATTATCAATACAGTCAACCCTCACTTTACACGGTCCCACTTTACGCGTTTCCACGTTTACACGGTACCCTGCCGAAACCGGAATGCTCACTTTCCGCGGTGCGTGTACCCCTTTACGCGGAGAGCGGCTGGCGGTCCTCTCGCACCGCGCCATTTTTGGATCCAAACCTCCCGCCATCCGCCATGTTGTGTAAGCGGCGCGAGTAGGTTGCGCAGTGTATGTCTTTGTTGCGTTATCGGTGACGTCATATGACGTAGCGGACTGTGACTGGGCAAAGCATCCTTACTTCCCTCCCTGCTAGCTGTGATTGGTTTAATGTAGTACTATGACGTGCCCCGCCGCGGGAGCATTCAAGCCCCTTGACCTACCGCGTCAGTTACACCCCTCCAGGCTACACCGTGTATATCGGTATCCATTGTTCCATAAGAATGGCTTCCACCGGACCACCACCACCACCACAAAGAAACCTTGCATTACCTGGACACAGCCGCCCTAAACCAAAGAAGACACGACGTTCCTTAAGCTACGAAATCAAATATAAGATCATACAAGAGTTGGAGAAAGGAACAAGACAGGTTGATCTCGCGCGCCAGCATGGTGTTAACGAATCAACTATCAGGACAATTAAGAAGGATGCAGCCAAGATAAAGGAGCACATGAACATCACAAAGTCTACAGGTGCTTCTATGATCAAATATTTCCACAACTAGGTGCTTCTCAAGACGGAAAAATTACTTGTGAGCTACTTGGTGCGTCAGGTGCGACGGAACATGGCGGTGGACACGCGCTCAGTTAAGGAGTACGCACGTGAACTGTATGCTGCAGTGTCACGAAAGATGGGAATTACAGAGCCCAAACCCTTTAATGCTTCCTCTGGGTGGTTACAGAGGTTTAAGAAGAGAAACAAGATCACCAATATCAACATTGGTGGTGAAGAAGCTAGTGCTGACCGTGTTGCGGCTAGGGAATTTCCTCCATTTTTACGTGAGATTATGGAGGAAGGACAGTACACCGACAACCAGGTGTTTAACATGGACGAATCTGGTCTTTTTGGGAAAAACTACTTTCCAAGACCTTCGTTGTGAAGAATGCCAGCAAGTGTCGGGGCCGGAAGTTGCAGAAGGAGCGCATCACCGTCCTGTTTACCACCAATGCCTCCGGTACCTGTAAGCTCAAGTTATCGGTGATCCACACAGCACGCAAGCCGCACGCCCACAAGAGCATGGACATGACCCAGCTAAATGTCCACTGGCTGACCGCACGTAAGGCGTGGATGTTCTCTACACTGTCCCTCTCCTGGTTTGATGACTGTTTCGTTCCCGACGTGAAGAAATTCTGTGAGCAACAGAATGTGCCATTCAAGATTTTGTTGCTGCTGGACAACGCACCAGGACACTCGCCCCTACTGTTAGATCGTCACCCCAACATAAAAGTAGTCTTCCTTCCTCCCAACACCACGTCTATAATACAACCCATGGACCAAGAATTGATCTGTAATGTAAAAGCTGCATTCTCTGCTAAAAAATTCAACCTACTGAACTACTACACCAACACCAAGGAAGAGTTGCGTAACCTGAGTGACACCAACACCAATAGCAAGAGCGAAGAAGACGAGGATCAACAGTTGGCAGAGCAAGAAGTACTTTTAAAACAATTCTGGAGAACATTCAACGTCAAGAAAGCTGTGGACTTCTTGGTGGAGGCATGGGATCAGCTGTCTGTAGCAACTGTTCGTCACGCATGGAGACATGTGTTGCAAGGCATTCCAGGTGTTAGGCAGAGTAAATCTGTGACTGGTGAGGTTCAGACTGTTGCAGTAGCAGTGGACCTTGCCAGAGAAGCTGCGCAGAGTGTTACAGCTGCAGGCTTCTCCGAGACCACCAACGACGACATCCTGGAGGTGATAAGGGATCCTGATGTGACTACCGACGAGATGGTAAATGATGATGACGTCAGTGAAGAAGCAGGTGGTGCGTCATCCCAAGAAGAACGCCGCTTATCCCATAGTAATGTTAGGGGTGCCATCGAGTGTATTGAAAAAGTCAAGCTCCTCCTATCCGACGACCCTAACGCAAACAGGTATGAATCTTCACTACCCAGCTGTTGCAGACTATGGAGCCCTACATCAAGGTTTATCACGACAACATAAACACCAGCCGTCAGCAAAGCATAACAGAGTTCTTCGCCCGCAACCCACCACAGCCAGCCGAAGCCAGTGACAGAGGCAGAGACAGTGATGATGACTTTGAGGGATTTGTCAGGGAGGCACTAGTAAGTGTGGATGACACCGATGAAGACTCACCTGAGGGCCAGTAGCCTGCCCTCTGCCTCAGAACCAGCCTCCATTCCCCTACGCCGACCCAACTCTTCTACTAACGTAAGTGTTAACCCCAACCTTGTTTTTTTCTAACCTAACCTTCAGTTTATTGACTGTTCCCTTCTATAATATATGTGGGTGAATACCATCATAAAGTTAAGATGTTATTTTTAGTAAAACGTACGTATTGTGTCGGGAAAAAGTGGAGTTTGGGGGTCGGCCCGGTCTCTATTTCAATTAATCCCATATGTTATGTTGTTCACTTTACGCGTTTCTCACTTTACGCGGGCCGCCGTGGGTTGAATTAACCGCGTAAAGTGAGGGTTCAATGTATGTGAACTAAATTTCAGAATGACCAATAATTTTAATGTAAAAATACAAAAATATTCAAGAGACCAACAAACTGAATGTAAACTCCACTGTAAACAAAGTTAAACTGAGAAGCGTTGTTGGGTGTGATTGGCGCACAAAAACTGTTCCCTATACTGTATATATTATCAATATGTTAACTAAATTTCAGAATGACTTATAATTTTAATATAAAAAATGCAGAAATATTCAAGAGACCAACTTTCTTGATATTTACTTCACTGGAAACGAATGTAAACATAGAACAGATTACTGAATTGGCGGACTAGCCCATCAGCTGATGAGCACAACAAAACATGTTTGTCGTAAGGATTTCGTTAATCGAAGTTTTGTTCGTTAATCGAACTGATACGTAATTTGTCTTAGTATGCCTTATTGTAGGTAAAAATAAGTAGTTGAGTCTAGATTTGTTTACGCGTTTGGTCATTTTCCTGCACCTTGCCAGAATGAAATGTTTTAATTACGCGGTAAATTTCATCATTTACGCGGGTGAAGTATTATTTGTTTATTTACTGAAGATATATATGTTTTTAGCTCATAAAATATATAATTTACATTGATGGAATCCTTACAAGATGGTGATCATTTTAAATATAAACATCTTAACATTTGCATTAGACATAAAAATTTTAGATGTAATGTAAGGAGATGATGAAAATTAGCAAACATTTTATCTTTTGTGCAAAATATATGACGTTTACATTCAAAATATTCCCTGTCCTGCAAGGAATCCAGCAATGTCAATTATATTATCCTAACTTTAGTCTGAGGTATTATTTATTACTAAACCTTAAAATCTAGTGTTTTCACCCAAACATTTCTCAGAGAGGGAGGAGCCAGCGAGCGTGGGAAGAGGGGAGGGGGGAGAGTTGAGTCCATTATTTGAATGGACATTAACCGGGCAACTGTACTTCTCTTAAGTATTAATTGTGTGTGCATAAAATTAATATGTTATTTTTACCACAACGTAGGTAGTGTGTCTGAAAAAGTGGAGTTTGGGGTTCGGCCCAGTCTCTATTTCAAGTAATCCCATATGTTCTGTTATTTCATTTACACGTTTCTCGTTTTACACGGGCCTCCACAGGTTCAATTGACCACGTAAATGCAGACTCCACTGTATATATTAAATGCATCCTCCGAAAGCGTGAATTTGTTACCAGTATAACAATTAATTCATGTATATGATTTCTGATAAACTTCCTACGTGCTCCTGTTTGAAATAATGAATGTAAGTACAGTAAAACCTCGATTAACCGACTTTCGGATCAACCGTCAATCCCGAACTCCTAAAAAAAAAATTACAGGGATTAGACCACCCGGGCACAGGTCAATGACCCACATTGGGGCCTGGGGGGCGATAATGTAATAATATTAATAATGATAATGAAAATGATAATGATAATAATAATAGTAATATAGAACCATAAATAAATTCAAAAATGAAAAAAAAATCAAGAGTGAGAAACAATATATGTATGTTGTGTTGTCAATAGTAAGAGATGCAATTGAGACCCTGCAATTGTGTGTAAATGAGGCAGAAATCAGATCAGCAACCTGGGACTTGGTCACAATTTTTGTGATGACATGTTCTTTGACTTTTCCATTTCTTATTCACGGTTTCTGTGCTGGTTCATATTTATTTACTAAAGTGGTTAATGTTTTAAAGCAAATTCTATTGAAATATGAATGGCAAATGAACAAAAATGAATAGAGGGACTTAAATGGGGTAGGTTAGGGAAACGTACTTTGAAAATGTATGTTTTATTTCCGTAGACTTTATGTACTATTAACCGACCTTTCGGTTTATCCGTCGGCCCCTTCCCCCCATATGTGGTCGGTTAATCGAGGTTTTACTGTATCTTTATAAAATTTAGCTATCTATCTTTCTCGTCAGAAACGGTCAACCTAACGATTATGAATAAACTCATTTAGAAATACATCATTACTTCAGGACAAAATCGAACAGATTTGCAACAGCCAATCAGCTGTAACTCTTGAGGAGGGGGCGGGGCATCTTTTCTCAGCTGGGAAAAAACACACTATAGTAGACGCACTCAGATTATGTACCGATTAAAATCTAATAAAAAGTTTTTCATAATTTTCTAAAACAAATAATTGAATTGAAATCTCAGCTTCACCTTTAAATATAGTACTGTACAAGGAATTACAGTCCTGCACTAATAAAATGCCCCTCTGCCATAATTAACGTCAAATATCTTCAAAATTATCACTGTTGTAAACTACACCATACACACCTTCATATACAGAATCTGGCCGAGAAAAGTAAACATATTCGAAGATACAGAAGGCAGGGGGTGGTGCCTGGAGGATGTCAGCATGGTCAGTGTGGTTTGGATCCCCATGTGCTTCACTTAATGGTGTGGCAGGTTTTGGCCTCGGCACAATATCCAATGATCGCACACCTTCCGGTCCAAGTTCCACAATCTCACCTGGATAAACCTGGTGGGAAGAAATCAACAAAAGACCCATGCAATATGCATTTTAATGGGAACAACAACCTTAACTGCCTTTATTCATAATAATGTTAAATCTAGGTAAATGAAGTGCTTCATCAACAAAAAATAAAACAAACAACATGTAATGCATCATCTGTTTAAGGATTAACAAGTGCAATACTATACTGGTTGATGTCCAGTCTTGTAATTCTGAACCTTTTATAAATAGTTTTTCAGGGTAATAAAATATTCTAGGGGAAAAGTCTCAGTAGCATGAGAAAATACAATATTCTTTAAAAATGGGAACCAATTCATGGTGCCTCTTTATATATTTATGTAGAACAGCAGTACAGTTACAATATCATAATATGGTGCCTAACCATGATTTGGTTATATTATTTAGATTTCTCTACGAATATAAATATACCCATGAAGGAGCCCAACAGTACACCATACTTCCCGGGTGGGGGGCCCAAGGGTACTCTGGCATAGATGGTTGGGTAACTTTGATGAAGTCAAAATTAAACTTACAATTAGTTATTCCCTTCCTGTTACAACTGTCGCTCTAGAAAGAAAGAAGTAAAAAGAAAAGTTGCTTCTACAAGCAGGAGGTCTTATTGAGTACATGGTGCCACACTAAAGTGCACACCTCACCATTTAACCATAGGCTGGTGCTATGTTGGACTTTCAAGTGTGACCCATCATTTAGATGTAGCCAACTTCTTATTACCTTAAATGAGAGAGGAGAGTATCTGCACTACCTAGCATTGGCCTTCATCATAAAATGGGGTTACAGAAACAATCTCACATCTAAAACAACTTGGCCTTCTGCTAGGTAGCTCAGGTAGCTAAAGCCAGCAACAGAATAGGAGATGGTGCAATACCTCTACTGTACTACACATATCCACACTACTATTACTACTTTGCTGTCACTCGGAATCGATTATGACGATCATCCAGCTATGATACAATGACATGAGTTATTAAGGATGTCACCTTCATTGGTGAGTTTTGAGGTAACTAAAGAGGCCGAAACAGGATCGACAAAGTCGTTCATAGAGATATTGCACATGTGGAGAGCTCCATCTAGTGCGGGAGGGGCGGTGGCAGCGTCTTTCCGGCATTGCCGCTAGTCTGCCTCGGTTTGCAGTCAGGCTAACTCGAAAGTATTGACTCCTTCTTGTATGGTGCTCCTCCGATTTGGTACTTTTCAGGTTTGTCTTAAGACAATCCTTATACCTTTTCAGTTGCCCGCTAGCGTTACGTTTACTATTCGTTAGGTGACAGTAAAGTAACTGCTTTGGCAGTCTACTGTCGTCCAAGCGGATAACATGGCCAGTCCAGTATAGTTGTTCAAGGATAATGGTAGCCTCAATGCTCCTACAGTTGGTGTCAGCAAGAATACTGGCACTTGTTCTCTTGCCTTCCCAGTCAACTCGGAGGATGGTACGTAGACTACATTGGTGAAAGTTTTCAAGTGCCTTGAGGTGCCTCCTGTATGCAGATCCGGATTAAGGGTTTTGTAGGCCCTGGGCACTTTTTTATCGTAGGCCCCTAAATTTTCTGATGCACCATTATGTGCCTTATTTTACCCTCACAACCATCAAACATCATGCCAACACAGTGCGTGCTGCCACCTATGGATAACAGCAACTAATGGGTTAGATGACACAGGCAGAGATGCTGAGATGTAAGTTTTTCCATAAATTTAGGTTAGTCTGTTTTATTGCGGTTTTCGCATATTAAATCTAACAAATATACTCGTTGTTATTAGGCTTAGGATAATTATGGATTTGCATTTGTGCATACCGGTAAGCAAATGCATATTTTAGCATTTTTGAACTAAAGCACATATTCATTACTTTTTTGTTTCATAAGGCATATTTTTAGAAAATTCTAAGGTATTATGATAAATGCTTCAATCTGTTATGGTATTTAGAATCGTAATATCCAAAAGGAATAGACATAAGGTACATTAGGCTGTGTGTAGCTAGGCCATGACTGACTGGTCAGTGGACAAGAACTGTATGTTACTCAACAGAGAGATAATGTTAAAAAGTTGGACTTTCAGGACATTATTGAAGACTGCCACAGCCAAGAGCCAAAAAGTGTGTTTTGTCTGAAATTATAATCACTGATAAATAGATATTAGTTGGTTGAATTGAGTTGCTTATTATTTTGAGGATTGATAAAACTCTAAATCTGTTTTGCAGTATGGCTAAGAATAAAGTTGTTCATTTATGCATTTGTGATTATTTAGTCCCTTGTGACTTCTACTCAATCATAGTTAGTTTCCAGCAAGTCAGGTTTAAAGGATGTCTAAGCACTAACCAAACAGATGCTAAATTAACGTTTATAATCACTTAGTCTTTTGACTGCAATCTATTTCTCTCATCATTTACCCTGTTGGAACATAAAAGTTAATAGGCCATACCACAGTGAAAATGCATACATTACTGTATATCTCAAATATCGAATGTCCCTTAAACCTTCCTAGGCCGTGGGCACTGTGCCCACTGTGCCCCCTTGATAATCCGGCCTGCATGTATATGACCTATGTCTCGCTGCCATATAGCAGGGTGGGGAGGACCACTAATTGATATACGTGAAACTTTGTAGATAATTTCAGCTCCCTACAGCTGAAGACAAGATTTTGGAGTCTGTCAAAGGCTTGAGATGCAAATCTGCTCTGATGCTGAATTTCTTCATCTATATCCCTGTGGTGAACAGGTGGGAGCCGAGATACCGAAAGTGGGTAACATTAGAGAGGGTAGTACCATTAAGCTGGATGGATGGTGGAGGTGTGGCTGAAGCAGAGGCAGGCTGAAAGAGAATCTGAGTCTTATGTACATCCACCTCAAGGCCGAAGTGTGCATACGCATCTATGTAGGCGTTAAGGATCTCCTGTAGGTCACGATCAGTGTGAGCGACAAGGGTGAGGTTGTCTGCATACTGAAGTTCAGTAATGGAAACTGCCGACACCTTTGTTCTTGCCTGAAGTCGTCTTTTGTTGAAAAGACCCTTAATCCAGTACTCTATGTCCACCCCGCTGGCTAAATTTGAACTGGCACAAATAAGGAAGGCAGCCAAGAAAATGCATAAGAGAGTTGGTGCCAGTACACACCCTTGTTTAACCCCCATTTGGATGGGGAAGAACTCAGACTGGGTTCCATGATGCAGGACACTGGGGACAAGCCATTGTGAAGTTGCCTCACAATCGCGATGAATTTTGGTGGAGAGCCAGGGAAGTTCTCTGGCGGTCCGAGTTGAAGGCCTTGGTTAGGGCAAGGAAAGCCATGTACAGGTCACAACGTTGTTCTCTGCACTTTTCCTGTATCTGATGGGCAGCAAAGATCATGTCAGTGGTGCCATGTGATGGTCTAAAGCCACATTGAGATTCTGGGAGGAAGTTTTCTGCCTCAGGAAGAAGTCTGTTTAGGAGGACTCGGGCGATAATCTTGCCAACTACAGACAGCAGCGAGATCCCACGGTAGTTGCTACAGTCTGACCGGTCTCCCCTATCCTTAATAATACTGGTCCCTCGGTTAACGAACACAATTCGTTCCACAGAGTCATTCGTTAACAAAAAATTTTGTTAACCAAAACTATCATTTCAATGGGATACTGGGTAATTGGTTCAAACTCACAGAAAAGTACATACAAAGTATAAACAAAATTCAGTACAGTACACTTACTTTGAGGTGTGTATGTAGAATGTTGCTGGTTGATGATGAGATGGGAATTAGAAGCGGGGGGTGGAGGAGGAGAAGGGAGAAGAGAAGGAAGTGGGGGCGGAGGAGAAGGAAGAAGAGATGCATTTCAATGCTTCTTGGAAGGTGAGTCACCTTCCATAACAATGTCAGGAACCTCTGGACTGACAGATTCTCTAACATGAAAATCCTATCTCCTTTTTAGAGAGGAACACTGAGGGGAAGCATCTTTCTAACACTGCCTTTTAGAGAAGAAGCTGTCAAGTGTTAGTTGTGTGGCATTTCTCCTCCTGATCATTAGCTGGTTTTTGAAGGAGACCACTTTGTCCTCCACGGCACACACTATAGGTTCTGTTGTTTCCACATCATGGTGCCTTGAAGCCAGTTTCCTAAACATCTCCCAGTGGTGAACAACATCTTTTAAATCTGAAGAAGACATACGGTCATCACTTTCCTTTTCCTCCTCACCACTGTCTGTTTCTAGCATCTCATCCAGTTGTTTCAATTCTTCAAGAGAAAGTTCCTGCTCATGAGACATCACAAGCTCTTCAACAACCTTCTCCACTTCAAGTCCCATTGACTGACCAATGGACACAATCTCCTTGTCCAACTCTGCTTCTTCTTGAAATCCCTCAAAATCATGGACTGCTGATGGCCACAGTGCTTTCCATGCAGAAATCAGACATCAAGTAGAAACTTCTTGCTATGCCGACACGATCAATTTTACAGCCTCCAGGATGTTGTATTGCATCTTCCAGAACTGTCCCAGTGATAGATCAGTATCAGTGGTAGTTGCCTGATGACACCTTCTGAACATCATCTTCATATACAGCTTCTTGAAGTTGCTGATCACATTTTGGTCCATTGGCTGCATAATTGGTGTAGTGTTGGGAGGCAAAAACAAAACTTTGACAAAGTCAAATTGAGCCTCCAAAGTACTAACAAGTTCAGGGTCATGACCAGGGGCATTATCCAGAAGGAGAAGAGCCTTTAAAAGAAGTTAATTGGTGGTGAGGTAACTCTTCACAGTAGGGCAAAACACTTCAACTGCCCATTCATTAAAGAGCTCAGGGCCGGATTCAGGAGTGGGCAAAGTGGGTAGCTGCCTGGGGGCCTCCACAATCTGGGGGCCTCCACATATCAGGGCTGGTCGACTTGAAACCACATGAATGACTCCAGTCATGTCTCACTTTTGTGTGTGTGTGTGTGTGTGTGTGTGTTAGGAATTTGTACACTATCAATAAATATACAGTTAATTAAAAATTTCTCAATGTTCTAATTTCCTTCAAAATTC